TTAGGTGGGGCCTAAAAATTATACATCTCAGGTGTCAAAAACCAGGGTAAAGAGGTGTATCTTCTTCTGCATTCACTGAAAGCTGTCTAATGCAGATGCCAGACATGCCTCTGTGGTCATGTCTACAACACATATTTAAAGCACCTCCAAAGCCAATGAATCCTGGGAACTGTATTTTAACCCTTGCAGGGTTATAATTCTCAGCACCTTTAACAAACTACTCAAGATACACAAACTCAGGATTGGATGAATCTTAAGGGGAAGAGAATTCTGAGGATCAATACGTCTTGTTGTAAATGGCATCAAAAGGAAGAATAACAGATAGACAAGAAAGAAAGAAAGAAAGAAAGAAAGAAAGAAAGAAAGAAAGAAAGAAAGAAATTGCTCCAGTAAGAAGTTATTTTTCACCTACCAAGCTTCCATGCCAGATGCCTTTCTAAATGAAAGCTGTTTTACATCCTGACAACTCTGTTTAAAAGGATTCCACCAGCCCCCCACCAGGTTGCAGCACGTGGTTACTCTCCTCAGAAACATTGTGCAGGGAGATGAATTATATGAATTTCTCCACAAGCATGACAAGAGTTTGGAAATTAAGATAGTGAAATCAGATGCACACATCTGTTAATGAGCTTTTCTTTTTTATCACTGGAGTGCAACTGTCCTTAAGGCGGCTCTCATTCCAATCAGTGCGTGTGTACATGAATGTACATCTAAAGCAGGCGTCAGCAACCTTTTTCAGCCGTGGGCTGGTCCACCGTCCCTCAGACCATGTGGTGGGCCGGACTATATTTTGAAAATAAATAAACGAATTCCTATGCCCCACAAATAACCCAGAGATGTGTTTTAAATAAAAGCACACATTCAACTCATGTAAAAATACCAGGCAGGCCCCACAAGTAACCCAGAGATGCGTTTTAAATAAAAGGACACATTCTACTCATGTAAAATCACGCTGATTCACAGACCGTCCGCAGGCCAGATTAAGAAGGCAATTGGGCCGCATCCAGCCCCTGGGCCTTAGGTTGCCTACCCAGATCTAGAGTGATTAAAAAAAGGAACTTGTGTATGTATTTGTATGGCTTTTAATCGGCAAATCCTGAAACTTAGAAATTGCCATGGATTCTCTAGTATTCGCCTGGGCTCCCTGGGCTTTACATACAGTCTCTCAGAAATTACTTCCAAGAACCGTGTAAGGTCAGCCAGGACGATTTCTCCATCTTACAGGCAGGCAGGGCTGAGTGCCAGCAGCTTGCTGATGGTCTCTCAGCAAATCTGTAGCAGCCGCAACATTTTAATCATCAGGAACTTTCTGAATCACAGTTCAGTCTATGTAACATCTGCTTTCAAACTGCTATGGTTTTCTATTTCGAGGATGGGGTGAGTATTTTGCTCAGTTCCTTTATCATCTGACATGGTGCAATAAGAAATACTGTATTCTTTACCCATTCCTAAATCAATATTTATTTTGCATTATTGATGGTAAGCAGTCGGCCCTGAAGCCTTTTGTGTGCTTTCCAATTCATAGATAATTGCCACAAATATCTAACAGTTTGCAATAATTCAGAAAGCAAATTGTGTGTCGTTTTAACATGGCAGAAGAAATGCAATCATTTGTTTCTGAGGAATGTATGGCTTATTTATTTATCATGTTTATATTCCACTTTCCCATCCAATGCCAGAAACACACAGGGTTAGAGTGAAACATTTAAAAAATCACAAATGGTTGCTCAGATGTGATGAAGCATTGCAGAAAGCTGTATAACAAGTAATAGAGAGTGATTATAGTTAAGTGCTTAGGAAAAGTAACCATTAAGCAACTGGGAAGGATCAAGTTGCCAGCTATGCACCCAGTCTTGAAAACGAATGCATGTCAGTATGCTATAAGCCCTTTTCATATGTAATCCTGTCAAGGGATAAAAGGAACATCATAAGCAGGCCTTTTTTCAGGGGGAACTCACAAGGACCATTGCTCAATGTGCATCACTGCCATTCTAAGAAAACAAGGGAGGTGTTCATTCTGGCACCTCTTTTTCTAGAAAAATAGCACTGGTTGTAAGTTTTGGTTGAGCAAAATGGAGGAGGGGGCAAAGCTTCTAATGGATGATCCCACTTCAAAATAAAGGGGTGGTGGGGCATATGCTTCTTCCTGGAAATGCATCTATGAATGTGTCCCCAACCAAAAATATGACTACACATAGAAAACTAGCATCGGGAAGAGTTCAGCTTTAAAGGTGAAATAAACTCATGGAATGTGAATAAAAATTCTTGAAACACAAATAGTAGCTATTACATATTAGGATTTTTATTTTAGCAAATTGAGTTTTTAATAAATTCACTAATGGCAAATTATTATTTTTACAGGGAGTATGGTATTTTAATTATCTTTCTTTTTCTTAAACTCTTTGTTAACTGCCTTGAGTTAACACCTCTCTCTCTCACACACACACACCTTCTAAATAACATGTGTTTTTCCTAAACACAGGATGCGAAAGCACGTTCCAGCAAGGCCCTATGCCAGTGGTATTCAACCAGCGTGCCGTGGCACCCTGGGGTGCCTTGAATGATAGTCAGGGGTGTGGAGGACAACCCTGGCCTCTGCCCCTCTTTCCTTCACTCCCTCCTATGATGCTCTCTTGTGTCTCTGCCTCCCAAAGGCTTACACAGCTGTTTGTTGCAACAGCTCCGGCTACAAGCTCCCCAGGCGAATGGTGCCTCTGGGGCTGGCCCAAGGGTGCTTCCCAGGCCCCTATGGGGCAGTGTGAGGAGGCACCTCTCTTTGAAGCGAGGGAGGGGCAGCTCAGACCAGGGACAGTAGCTGCAGCTGCCCAGAGGACTCCAAAGGAGAAGGGAGAAGAGAGGGGGCTGAGGGAACACTTCACAAGTGAGTGTGTTCGAAAAGGGGTGAGGGGTTGCCAGTTCTGCAGGCAAGGGGTGACATAACTGGGCTCCTGAGCCCCACGGGGGTACCACAGAAATAATGTAGTTGGCCAAGGGAGCCGTGGACTCAAAAAAGTTGAAAGCCTCCTGTGCACACAGTCCCACTGAACTAAATGAGATATACTTCTGAATAAATATACATAGTATAGGGATACATTTGTGTTTGGAAGTGTACTAAAGCTGCAGTTCTATACAGGTTTACTTGGAGCAAGACCCATTAAGTTCAGACTTACATCTGAGTAAACACACAAAGATTGTACTGGGAATGGGGTTCATGACTGGGGTAGCCAAAGAATAAAATGCACAGTATTTTTCAGGAGTGAAATTACCGCCCTCTGGTGGAAAAGGAAGCAAATTATTTGAACTGAAGTGACGTGACCCATCCTTCGATGCAGGATGACCTGCTCCATTATGTATTTTGTATTTTTTATATTGTAGTTTTGTGCTGTGGACCGCTCTGCAATCTAGGGATATAGGTCAGTATACAAATTTAATAACTTTAATAATTTATTAATACCCAAGCATGCTATTTGCTGGTTCCAGGCCCATTGCTGGGAATAGTCTCCTGTCTTTTAAGATGAGTCATACTGAATCAGACTAAAGGAACAGCTATCTCAGCATCCTGCTCTCAGGTTCACTTCCCGCTTTTGATTTCCAAAACCGGCTATTCAGAAGAATACTTCTGACACTAGTAGTCATTGGAAGTCCTGTCATGAATTTTCCTGATCCTCTTTTCAAGCCACTCTAGCTAGCTGCCATTACATCTTGTGGGTACATATTCCTTAGCAACTGTGTGCTGTGTAAAGAACTACTTTATTTGCCTGAAGTGAGAAAGGCTTCATACTGCTGTCTAGATGGGCAGGTGGGTATCAGAGAATTCTAATTTATAGAAACAGAATCTGTTGGGGAAGTGGCCCCATCCCCCTCTGCTGGCACCAATACCATACAGAGGCTGTTATACTGCTTTAATGTCAAAAGTAGCACTTGGGTGAAGAGGGCGAACGACATGGAAAATAATCCACAGTTGGAAAATCAACATTCATGTGACATTGGTGGTTATAAGCGGCGTTTCTAAAATATGCCATGAGGTACATGGGGTACATGATATGTGGGGTCGGGAGTGCTTGGAGGGTTGGTTGGTTTGTTTGTTTTCACAATCAAGTGGTATATCGAATCGTAGAAACTGTAGAGTTGGAAGGGACCCCCAAGGGTCATCTAGGCCAACCCCCTTGTAATGCAGGAATCTCGGCGGCTGAAACATCCTGAAAGATGACCATCCAACCTCTGCTTTTTAAAACTTCCAAGGAAGGAGAGTCCACCACCCAGTTCCGATGTTGAACAGCTCTTAACTGTCAGATATACAGGCGTTTTAAGTGTGTGTTTTAAGTGCAATATACCATGTGACACTAGATGGGGATGGTGAGCCTTATGGGAAATTCAATGTACAGTATTATTATTATTTTTAAAATGCTTTTTAAAAAAGGACTCTGTGTGTGTGTGTGTGTGTGTGTGTGTGTGTGTAGATTCCACCTCAGAAACTTCCCCCTGAACGTTTATTCGGAAACCTCCTTTCTCGTCACTTGAAGCCATGGGTTCGAGTCCTGCACCTCCAGAGGGGGGGGGGGGCGGACAAAAAAGCGCCGCTCCCTGCATTTTGGCGGCGAACCTCTTCTCTGGTACTCACCATGTCCTATTAAGTGGGCCAATTCTTGCCATCCCTTTCAATGTACCCTCTTACGACCGGGGGTGGGGGGTGGATATAAGGATAACAGTGCGTGAGGCACCGGTGAAAGGAAAAGGCCATTGTGGGCTTTAATGCGGCGGCGCAACCCCACAAGGGCGGCTCTTTTAGGGGCGTTTGGGGGGGGTCGCCTTTCCCAGGGAGCGGCCCCCGTGAGGCGGTCGGGAGGCGCGGCGGCTGTGAGGGCGGGCCTGTTCGGCAGAGGCGCCGGGGAAAGGCCGGCCCTTCCGCTTTCCTCACCGCAAGGCCGCCCGGCGGTTTCTCCCTCCGCCCCCTCAGGCCCCGCCGGAGACTCCGCCTCTGGGGAGAGAGGGCGCCCAAGATGGCCGCTCCCGCTGTGGGGCACAGCCCCGAGCAGCCGTCGGTGCTGCTCCCGCAGCTCTCCATGGACCTGCTGCAAGTGAGTGAAGGCGGGGGAGCGGAGGGGGCGGCTTCGTGCGCCGCTTTCTCCAGGCCCGGCTCCGTCGGCTGTTTGTCAGCTCGGGAAACGGGGCTCTCTCTCGGGCTGCGGCGGGGGAAGGTGGGAAGGTGAGAGATGGGGGTCCTGAGGAGCCCCGGCGGGTAATCCTCGTCGTCGTCCCCTCACCTCAGCTCGGGGCAGCGAGCGCGGGCTGACGTTGGGACTCCGGGTCGGGGAGCGGGCGGGATGGCCTGTGCTGCGAAGGGCGCTGGGGTCGCTGTTTTGGTGGAGACGGGATGGGATTGTGTGAAAGAACAAGTTCGAGAGAAAGAAAGAAAGAAAAAAGGAATAGGTTTAGGACCTTTCATGGAGTAGAATGGTGGACGTGTTTCCCTCGCTCACATTCACACAAACACACGCATGCACGTGTCTTCTTCCCTCAAGTTAAAACCATGCTGCTGCTGCGTTTACTACTTGGTCTGTGGCTGCATCTTGAACCCCAGCCGTACCATTACTAAGCCGAACCTTTTTCGGTCCTCTTTTTTTCCTTTTGTGATTTTTCAAGATAATGTTGGGTGTCTCGCGCATTCTTCTGTGTTGAGGCGTGCACGTTTTTTGCTTGGGTTGCTTGTTTCGTGGGTCATTCGTGTCCATGCGTTTTTGTATTTTGAACTGCCGTGTGGTCCTTGGGTGAAGGGGGAACGCAAAGTTAATAAATATGTAAAATATATAAAAATAGTGTTTCGTGAGATGGTCTGAATGAAGCATTTGCCCATTGTGCCATTTCTCATATCCCTATGCAAATTGTGTTTTTTATATTTAATGAATAAAGTAATAATAATAATATTTATTGAATTTCTGTTCTGCCGTTCATCCAAGGATCACAGGGCGATCTTTCTTTCTTTCTTTCTTTCTATACCTCCCTATACCTGAAGGTCTTAGGGCAATTCACATAAAATATCAAATACATAAAATCAAAACAAAAACAACAGCCCAATTTTAAAAACCCAAAAAAGAGCTTACAATATAAAAACTCATAAATGCATAACATAGTGACAAACAAAAACAATACAGCAACATTCCCCTTCACCTGTGAATTACAAAGAAGATGGGTAATGGCTGAACAAGTAAGTGTGTTTAAGGAAATATTGACCATCATTACTTGTAAGATACTGAGAAACCTTGAAGCTTCTTTCAGTACGCTTTGGAGACTGTATTTTCAGCAGCATATAACTTGGTTGTATAGCTGACACCAAATACCTATGATGAAAGTTCGTTTATTATGTGAACTGGTCATGTCCCTAAGAAGAAATAATATTTGATTACCTACATATTTCTTATAGGCACACATTAAAGTTGAAAATGAAGATGACGTACACTTTGTGTCTTTTAATCGCAAAGAAACACCCTTTGTGAAAGTTAAAAGTAAGTTCTTTCATTTTTCCCATTAACACCTGATGGAATTTCTTACAACAGAAACTCATTTGATATACTGCAATCTTCATCTAAGTATGTTTGTGATTAAAATTCGGAGAATCTTGAGTAGGAAGCTGCTGCCCTGCAACTTTCTATTCTAAAGTTTAGTCCATGTGAAAGTAATGATAAGTTTATACAAATGGCAAAGTTATACAAAGTTAGGTATTGTTGTAAAAGATTGCCTATTCATTTTTAACAATGAGCTATACTGTGGGGTAAGGGACTGGCGTAAAGGCAACCACCATACTCCCTGATAACCATACTCTGTCATCACTGAATGGGAAAAGGAAAACCCACGACTCTGAAAAACACAGAATGGAACACCACCACCAGTGCCCACCAATCATGGGCCATGCCGGGCAAAAGCAATTGCATCCAAACCAGGTTTTGTTCAACAATCCACCGTTCCTCAGGTTTGGCACCACAGGGAAATGTTGTTCGTTTAACAGTAGACGTGTTATCTTTGTAACCACGCAGGATATGGGGAGCAAATTAACCCAGGGCTCATGCAGGCTCATTCATGTGACAGGAAAGAATGGTTCCCCATTACATATGAATTGGCACAGCGAAAAGGGCCTGAGCAAATTTATGGCTGTGCATAAAAGCCAAATGTATATTGGCTGATAATTGTGAACTTTTATAACTGCTTTGAGGGTGTGTTTTTTTACAAACAAGTGGTAAAGAAATTTTATTGAATGAATGAAATGAAATACAGTATCCATTTAATTTTCTTTTTTATAACAATTAGGCCCCTCCTGTAAAGATCTTGCAATCTGAAGGCAACCAAATTCCAACTTGCTTCATTGTTGAAGTGACTGATCTCAGGCAGGATGGTTTGATTCATCACCGTGTTGATCAGCACTTGATGATACATGTGAGAACTCTTAGGCTAACAAACCACTGTTTAAACCTGTACAGAGTCTATAAACAGCAGAAAGCCCCGCTATGATGGATCATTGGTTCATTTGACCAGGAGATTCATGGACCTTGTCAAAGTCTCACCAGAAGGTGTTCTTGATTTAAATGAGGTTTCTCGGACACTAGGAGTGCGGAAGCGAAGAGTGTATGATATCACAAATGTGCTGGATGGAATACATCTTATTCAGAAAAGGTCCAAGAACCTTATCCAGTGGGTGTAAGTTGATTTTCCTTTATGGCTTTAAAACAAGAACTGAGATCTTGTGTTAATTAAGCGCAGCGTTACTCTGTCTGTACTTTTTATGGATTGGACACGTACTAGAGCAGTGCCTATCCTTCTGAACTCCCTCCTGCTGCATATCAGACTTTTTGGTGCCTATCAAAGACCTTCCTTTCCCAATAAGCCCAAGTAAAGATTTTTATCCCAGTCTGATTATGTTGTTTTTTTAAAAAAGATATTTATTGAAATTTTCAAAATGTTACAAAAAATAAAAAATAAAATAGAAGTCGAAGAAAGTACAAAAAATAAAAATAGTTGACAAAGTAGGAAAAGAAAAAAACAAAAAAACCAAACCCCTTCCCACCATATGAGAAAAAATTCAAAATAAGAAAAAATGACAGAAAAAAGGAAAATACAAAAATCACAAACCTTTAAAAACATTTAAAAACAAATTCATTATTTTCAAATCCTTAACTGTCATTGCCTTCTTTCTTAGACCTCCTCCTCCTCCCTTTCTTTGTATCCTAGTTATTAATTATCCCAGCAAATCCTTTCCATGTTTCATAAAATTCTGTCCTTGCATTACCCTAAACTATTTTGATCTTATCTTTCTATAATAAAATAAACCTTAAAACTTAAAAACTTAAATCTTATCCTTACCAACTTCTCATAACCATAATATTCTTTCATACTTCTTTAAACATCTTTGCTAAAGCCAAGTAATTTCATTCCAACATTTTTCTATCATTCATCACTTTTATAAAGCAGTTCTAATGGTAGAAAAAAGAGGTACAAACAGATCCACTCTTCATCCAGCGTCCCTTCCTCCTGGTTCCGGGTTTTGTCAGTCCTTATTCCCGTCAATCTAGCCCATTAACCTGGCAACCTTATATCCGAGGCCCTCAAGTCTCTTCCATGTCCCTTCCGCGGCTTTTCTTCATATTTGTAACTGTATTTTCCCTTGTCTCCTGCTCGTGGTAACTCCAGCTTGACAATGTTTTTAGCCCTTCTCGACAAATCAGCCCCTTTTCCATGTTCAACACTAAATTCCATGTAGTATTTAAAAGCATGTTTCAAAGACCCTCCAAAATTGAGAGCCCCCACAGTCCCAAACATCTCACGGCCCGTTGCCATATTTGAGAAGTCCAAACGTCCCAGCATAGGGGGGTCAATCCAGCCCCCCATTTCCAAACCAAGCCAAACTTTTCCTTTCCAAATCTGGCTTTTTCCAAGTTCATTTGTCAAATCCGAAAAATCATATTCCTGTTGGGCCTGTTCTGTCAAAACACACTCCTGATTTAATGTCAAAAACTCCTGTTCTGTCAAGACACTCCTGATTTAATTCCTGAGTGGGCTCCACATATTTTCCCACTGTCTGTTCAAAATTTCCCACTGCCTGTTCAAAATTTCTAGTCGAAGTCGCCATCCAATTCACCTTCTCGTGTAATTGTTCCAGTAGGGCATTTGTTTTATAGAGAGCACACAACAAGGCTTCTGAATACATTGTCCTGCAAGGTTAGATGCCTGTTCCCACGGTTGTAATCTGTAACCGCTGCCGGCTCCCTGGAGTTAGTTACAGTTTCACAGTTACAGTTTCACAGACTCCCCCTAGGGGGAAGACTTCTATTTGTTCTTGCAACAAAGTTTCCTTTTTTTTTAAGATACTTTGTCCGTATATATTCCTTTAAAATGCGACAGGGAACAGTGGAATCACTAGGTTTCTCTTCTTTTAGCTATCTGTCAACGACACTTGTCTTTGGTCAATGAACTTCAAACGTCAGTCCTGACACCCCGCTCCAGGATCAGGACGGAGGAAAGTTACTTCACTTTAAAGTCACTTTAAACAGTCCAAAAAGATCCCCCCCCCCTTCTCCTGCTGTCAAAGGGGGGTTCCACAATTTTAAATGGTGAAATCCAATCTTTTAAAAACGATTTTCTGAGCTCTAGTTTCAATTGTCTTTGCTTTATTCTGTTTACAAAAGAACGGAAGGCTGACTTCCTGTTTAGACCTTCCCGTTCCGTACCAAATTAGAGTAAATTTTTAAAGTCCAATTCTTTCCTGCTCGCAAGTCCTTATTCGATGTCCAATTGTTCAAAGTCTAAGTACTCACGGGTGCTTATTTTAAAGTCCAAATTGTCCCAGGAAAAAGGCAGCGCTCTCCGGCAACGGCTATGCGGCTTCACTCCACGGAAATAGCAGTTGACTCACAGCACCGCGCCACTTCCCCCTCTTCACTTCGGAGCCCGTTAGTGGGTTCCTTAGCGGGTTGGGGGGGCGCTAAAGGTGCCCGCCGAGTCCCATGGTCACAGGCTTCATCCGCCTGTGATTTTTAAGAGGGTCCCCGCTTCGCCGTAGCGGAGAAGACCCGTTTTCTGCGGAGCTAGTCCCCCAGTTCAGAGGGAGTCCGCCATTGCCGGTGGCGCCACCCCGGAATTATGATTATGTACTGGATTTCAAATTGTTTGTTTTTATACATGTTTCATTGTTTCTGTTTTTATAGCTGAATCACTTTGGGATGTTTTATGAGAAGCAATTCAGAAATGATATAAATAATCTTAATTGAGTAAAATGGCACTTGTTTGTACATGGGTATTTGGTTGTAGCCTTAATTGCACTACCTTATGCAACTCACAAATGTAGATTCAGTATATAATACACAAATATAACATATAACACACAAATACATAGTCTGATCCTTTGCAGATGTTCATGAGCTTAAGTGTGCCAAACTCCGCAGAGAACTAGGCTATTAGTAAGTATTCTCTAGGGCTTGGCTTCATTTTATGAAACATGTAGCTGCCAATTGATAAATGTTCACTTCCAATAGTTGACCATGTTCTTCCCAAAAGCTCATCTAGATATTGGTATGTAATGCAATGCTGCTTCTTTCTTTAGAGGGTGTGTGAAAGTCTAAAAAACTTCATATTCTATTATAGTGGATCAGATATCAAGCATATTACTATCAGGACACCAGAGCATCAAAAGTTAAGAGATGAACTTTATGACTTAACAGAAATGGAAGAAGCATTAGATGAATTAATCAAGGACAGTGCTCACCAATTGTATGATTTAACAGATGACAAAGAAAAGGCAAGATATCCTTTTTCTGAAGCATTTGTAAGAGTTTTGACTTGCTGGCGTTGAGCAACTGCAATTAAAATAGTGCTAGTACTTCATATGAAAACATACATTCTACTGCTGTTGAAATTCCTTGACAATCACGTACACTAGCTTATGTAACCTACCAAGATATCCGTAGCATTCAGACTTTTCAAGAACAGATTGTTATTGCAATCAAGGCTCCAGAAGAAACCAAAATGGAGGTACCAGCTCCTAAACAAGTAAGTGCATCCTGGCATGTTTTAAATCACCTGGGTGGGGTTGGATGGCAGTTTAACAGACCTAGCTACACATGTTTTAAGCTCAGACTTAAGGTAGGGGGCAGGCACTTGAACCAGGTCTCCTCCCTGAGTGGTATCATGTTCCTCTCCCACCCTGCCCACCAACCTGCCAGCCTCAGAAGTAAAGTAAGGTTATAGATGAGCAGCATCTATAGCAAATGGGATTTGGGACCCTTCTCAAACTTTTTGTGTGAAAAAAACAATTTACTGTCCAGGACCTTAATTTTTTATTTTATTTTTCAAATATGTCAAGGCCTTGAGTTTTACAACATCTCTACCTCTACCTTTTATGGGAGGGACGCGGGTGGTGCTGTGGGTTAAACCACAGAGCCTAGGACATGCCAATCAGAAGGTCGGCGGTTCGAATCCCCGCGATGGGGTGAGCTCCCATTGCTCGGTCCCTGCTCCTGCCAACCTAGCAGTTCAAAAGCACGTCAAAGTGCAAGTAGATAAATAGGTACCACTCCAGCAGGAAGGTAAACGGAGTTTCCGTGCGCTCCTCTGGTTCGCCAGAAGCGGCTTAGTCATGCTGGCCACATGACCCGGAAGCTGTACGCCAGCTCCCTCGGCCAATAAACCGAGATGAGCGCCAGAGTCAGCCACGACTAGACCTAGTGGTCAGGGGTTCCTTTACCTTTAACTTTTATGGGAATGTTTACTACAGCATGGGTCCAACCCTGCTCTCAGCCAATGTTGGTGTCTTGCAGGACTGCATAGAAGTACGCATCAAAAGCACAAAGGGACCCATTGATGTTTATTTATGTGAAGTGCCGTTGGACGATCCAAATACTGATGTTTTGAAAAATATGGATAACATTTCGTGCGAAAGTAGACAGGCAATGGCTGATTATGGAGGTAAATATGGTAATGGTATGGATGCTTATAAAAATGACATGCAGCAATTACAAGTTTCCTGCTCCTTGGAAACGTGGTTAAAACCTGTATTGGCATAAATGCATGTTGTCTGCTAATCTACAGACACACCTAATCTCAGATGTGTGATAAGGAATCTTACTTTTTTATTTTAATTATTTCAATATAATTAATAAACTGATTAAGGAGTTTAGAGTAGGTGGCAGTTCAACATCTGGGAATAAAATAGAAGCTCAGTATGGACTAGGAAAAAACCTCAGTGGGCAGACAGAAGCTGGGTTAGAAAGAGCCACCCCTGATCTAAAGTTTTAGTCTTGAACATTGCGAAACGCTTAGGTTACATTAATATCTGTTACATTTCTGAGTTTTTACTGCTCAAGTTCACCCCACTGGTTTCAATGTGATTTAAAGCACAAGTTGTTTTTGGATTTTACCCCCATACCTAAATATGTTCGGCAGATTACCTGAATGTGGTTTGCTATTCCAGTATATTCCTTTTCTTCAAATGGCTTGTCTTTTGTGTCCACCTCTACAGTGAGCAATATCAGAGATACGAAGAACTGCTAGACTACTGAGGCATTTGATCACTGAACTTCCACTTCATGGACTTCCCTGGATGTGCTTCGTGGAGGGCCAGTGCAGGCACTACAAATTTCTGTCTCAACTACAGTTAAGAGAACAAGAGCAGGCACTGGATTTGCGGACTCTCTGCCTTGAGCTAATATTTCCCCCCTAACCTTTCCTTTGGCACAGAAGTTGAGGGTAAAGTCACATCTTGCTTTCCCCTTTTCATGCTGGTTTTGCTCTGGAATAATGTGTTCACAACTAAATGACGAAGTTATACTGTGCTGTCATGCTAAAAAAAATCCTTAAATTAAAAATCTGAAAACATGGATTAGGGTTGTCATTTTATACAGGTCTTGTGTGCCGCATATTATAGCCACCCTAAACTATTTAATGTGTCATTAAAGGGCCTCTCTTTCATCTTCATACATGGAAGTGGCAATGAACATGAAGTTGTAATTAACTGCTTAATAAAAAAAATATTAGCTCTTCAGAACTGACTGACCCTGGAACAAAACATGCTCAGTAAGGGACCATTTTGGAAGAAATGCACTTTAGTTCTGAAGCTGCACTATTGCCCAGTGGAATTGTTAAACCATTATTCCACTGTAAAGATTTGGAAAAGGAAATGTTTCACACAAGAACAAGACTACAGAAAACAAGGTGATTTTTATTTTCATTTCATGGATGTTGTTCATGTGATATGCCTTGAACTCTGTATGAAACTGGCTTGAAGTCCTCAAGAAGCTGAAATTGCTTGGTTCATGTGTATATATGTATATCATGTTTAAATGGTTATCAGTGGAAATTTGGGCTGCCTCTGTACAGTAAAATTCAAATAAACACTAACTGATAAATACTACACATACAAAGTATTTGTCATTTTTATTTGACTTTGAAGCTCCATTGATTTACAGTTGTTTCAAACCTTTCATGTATGAATTTATAGTTTGTGAACTATAAATTGCAGGAGCAGTCGGAAGGTAGATTGAGGTCTATCAGATGAGTTTTGGGTGACTCTTCCCCCAGCCCTGCCTAATTAGGCTGCAGAAACGAAGGAAATGGGGAGGGGAAAAGGAGAGACCTGGAATGGTTTTACTTGAAAGCACCATCTTCATTCCCAAATTCAAAGCATCCACCACTATTCTGCACTTGGCAGCAGCTCATGGATCTTGAGTTTCTAGGAAAAATAACATGGATCCTATACACTTGAAATCTGCCCTCTCCTAAACTAAAACATACATTACAACAGGGATGTTTCTTTTCATAAATGAAGCAAAGTCTTATACATGTTTACTACTACTACTGCTACTACTACTAATAATAATAATTTTATTATTTGTACCCCGCCTTTCTGGCTGGGTTTCCCTAGCAACTCTGGGTGGCTTACAGCATATCTAAAAACATAATAAAAACATCAAGCATTAAAAACCTCCCAACACAGGGCTGCGTTCTGATGTCTTCTGAAAGTTGTGTCATTCTTTATCTCCTTGACATCTGAAGGGAGGGCGTTCCACAGGGAGGGCACCACTGCCAAGAAGGCCCTCTGCCTGGTTCCCTGTAACTTCACTTCTCGCAGTGAGGGAACCACCAGAAGACCCTTGGAGGTGGACCTCAGTCTCCAGGCTGAGCGATGGGGGTGGAGACCCTTCTTCAGGTATATTGGGCTGAAGCCGTTTAGGGCTTTAAAGGTCAGCACTGGGAGCCAGTGAAGATCCTTTAGGACCGGTGTTCTATGGTCCTGGTGGCCATTCCCAGTCACCGGTCTAGCTACTTGGAAGCAAGATTTACTGCATTCAAAGGAGTTAAGTGTACATGGGATTGCGGTTTCTCCTTTTGCATGCAGCATCAAAACATAATTGCTTTACAACAGTGTTTTGTTTTTCTAACTTGGTGCATAATTAACATTTTTTATCTTGTCTCAAATTTCAGAAATGTAGGATTACTACAAATTGGGTAACTGAGCAGTCTAATCCCAGTTTGCCCTGGGCTGGAAAAGAGGGTTTGGGTTGCGTGGAGGCATATCCATTCACTGACGTGGCGCTCTCCCATCAGTCCGTCAAATGTGTGGGCGAGTGGAAGTGCCTGCCATCAGCAGACGTGCCAGAATGGGAGGCAAGGCTGAGCTAGCTTCGGCTCTGTTAGATTCTGAGGTGGCTCCATTGTCACTGCTGGTGGCATTGGTCCTGATCGTTCTAGTTCCAAGAAAAGTCAACAAGCAGGGCCAAAGAACACATGGACTGCACTACCTTATAGTTTCATAACTAGTAATAAAAATTCTCTGGGTTGTAGCCCAGTAATTCCTTCCATAAATAAGGTTAATAGAAGTACAGATTATGGACTATGCCATGATAGAGTGTTTGTTGTGGGGGAGGAAGGGAAAGAAGAATGTTAGCCGCTTTGAGACTCCTTTGGGTAGTGATAAAGTAGGATATCAAATCCAAACTCCTCCTCCTCCTCCTCCTTCTTCTTCTTCTTCTTCTCCTTCTTCAGAAGTAATGGTTGGAATTCTCCCTCCTTACTCAGCTCTCCTATGCAGACAAACTGGAGCAATCAAGTTTCCTGGAGCTGCATTTTCATAGGTTGGTTGTATGTAGAACAGGACTTCCGCAGCCTGTGTTTCCGTTTGGGAGAATCCTGAACTTAACACTCAGGAGTTCATTTGAGAACAAGGGACAAGAAGATCTAAGAGAAATTACCTTGGCACCTCCTCTAGTCGTTCCCAGATTTCGCTATCATGACATCCCACAGGGCCTTGGTTCTGCTTGCAATAGAGGTTTTGGTAGCTTAAATTTCTCCGTTCCATCCCTCCACCCTGTTCCTATTACAGTTCATACGGCTTGAAGTTAAATTGTGGCTGAAGAAGAGAAACTGTGTTAGGTGTTTCGTTGATCCACCATATGTGATGCCAGTTAAACAACCAGAAATCGAATCTATGCAAGCCTAAGCAGGTGGTGGCAGTAGCCAGGGGACCTTGCCAAAAGCAGTTCTTGTGGGGGCTCCAGAACAGAAACCTTGTCATGCTTATCCATACCTTGTACCCAATTTGCTGCTGGAATGTGCTGTACGTGGAGCTGCTCTCACCTCCTGGCCAATTTTGGGTGCTCAGTTATATATTGCAGTCTGTTTTTGAAGAAATGTATTAGTTGCTAGTTTGCTTCCTGGCTGAATTCAGTCAGCCGATTTAAAGTATACAATAAACCTTCACAGTACAACATAAAACATTTTAATTGTACATTACCAATTGTTATGAGTGATAAGCCTTCAAAATGAAAAATGATGGAGGAACAGAAGCCAAACTTCTGCATATCGTTGAGGTGATAAGACTCTCTAGATCCCACAACATTGTGTTTTAGATCATGTTTGTGGAGCGACTCGAGTAAAACAGCCTAAGGAGAAGCTCACTAGAGATATACAACATAGACATATATGCATGTATTTGGTCGGAATTTCATCAGAAGCTAGAAGGGCTTCCACCTAGGAAATGTATGGAAAATATGGTGCTGTAATATCTTGTGTGTTTAAAGTGAGGATTTCTTACTGTATTTCCTGAGGAAGTTTGGACATAAATATTAGTCTCTCATCTACTACTGTTGTTCTGGAGACTTCACCTTTCATAATTGCATATTATATTGGGTTGAATTCAAGGTACAGTCGTACCTTGGGTTAAGAACTTAATTCATTCTGGAGGTCTGTTCTTAACCTGAAACTGTTCTTAACCTGAGGTACCACTTTAGCTAATGGGGCCTCTCGCTTCTGCCACGCAATTTCTGTTCTCATCCTGAAGCAAAGTTCTTAACCCGAGGTACTATTTCTGGGTTAGCGGAGTCTGTAACCTGAAGCCTCTGTAACCTGAAGCGTCTGTAACCCGAGGTACCACTGTACTGGTACTTACCTTTTAAATCCATTCCTGGTCTGATACTCACACACTTTAAGAGACACAGCTTTCTAGTTTAGTCCTTACAGCAGTTTCAGTCAGCTGCCCAGGCCCTGTTACTTCACAGCGGTAGAATTGTAGAACTGCAGAACTTCAAAGTTGAAAGGGACATCAGCTGCAAGGGCCTTTACTGCAGTTACTCCCAAATCCTGGAATGTCGCCCTGTGAGAAACTCGGGGCTGTTGTGGCCATGTCTTTCTGAAGAGTGCAAAACTTGCCTTGGCAGCCAATGTGGCTCATTGACTGGCTCTGCTATATAAATCATTGTACAAAATCACAGTTGTCATGTAACAAACTGCTTTCTTACTCCAGGTGGCAGTCTTGTGCTTTTGAGAGAAATCTGACACTCCCTTTCTATGCATTATGATGATTCCGGCAGTGCTTCTGTGGTGTCGAGATAGCCAAATGTTTGTTTTCAGCGCGAACGGATTATTTTGATGACACATTGATAAATCTGTGTAGTCAAGTGGTTATTACTTCCTATTTTAAAAGGCAAAACGGGTACAACTTCTACCAGAGACAGTAAAAAAGCTGCGCTTTGCATAAGGGTGAAGCTCATTCCGTGCCCCTGGTATTGGTGATCTCAACCATCTTCCCATATGCAGCCCTAGGGATGTGAACGTTGGTTTAACTGTCACTGGGGGACCTTAATTAACAGCTAAGCAGAGGCTGAAGTATGCAGAAGAACAGAAGAATACGTACATTCTGGTTGACTGCTGCAGGTTTAGAATTTTAAGCAATCGACTGGCGCTAAACTAGGGGAGCCAGAAGAAGTGAATATGGCTGGGTGCTAGTCAGCCATGATCAGTCAGGCTTGGCTAGTGTTTGGTGACACCTAGAATAAGAAGAGGATCAAGGGAGAAGAGACTTGAAAGGAAGGCTGAGGAGTTTGGTGGCCCGAGGCTTGCTGGTGGCCAAAGGCTAGCTGAAGAGGGCAAAACATATTTACAGAGGGGTCAATTTTGTTTACAGAGCTGAGAGGGGAGAAGTAGTGAGCAAGTCAGTCTGCAAATCTAGGCTCTGGTAGGAAAGCTAGAGGTACTGTAGATTCCATGATGGGACAGCA